TTGATTTATTTCTTTCTCCTCTGTGCAAATAAACTGAGAGAAAAGTCAATATTTGTTAAGTATTCATGTTAACATCCAACTTAACTAAGGAAAGAACATTTATTTGAAATCAGTTTTACTCTGAATTATCCAAGAGCAGTGCCTAAGATATGGTAATAGGCTCAATATGTATTTGCTAAATGAACCTCATATCTCAGTGTTCGCCAGTGAGGTGATTAAGTGAAGGTCACAGGTGTGGGCTTTGGAACCTAACAGACATGGTCAAGGCTGGGCCTCTTCACTCCAGCTTCATGACCTTTCTGGGATGCAATTTTCTTGCCTATGAATATTGTTTACTATACAGGGGTACTCAGCCAGATAGGCAACAATACAGTGAGATATTTAGCATGGGGCCAGCATAGGGTAAGTATTCAACAACCTTGGGTTTGATTATTATGTCCAATGCCTAACTATCAGACCACCAGAATCTGAGCTCCCAAAAGGCAGTGAATGGCTGCTGCTGCTAAGTCACTTCACTCGTGTCCGACTCTGTATGACCCCATAGACGGCAGCCCACCAGGCTCCGCTGTCCCTGGGATTCTCTGGGCAAGAACACTGGAGTGGGTTGCCATTTCCTTCTCCAATGCATGAAAGTGAAAAGTGAAAGTGAAGTCGCTCAGTTGGGGCCGACTCTTTGCGACCCCGTGCACTGCAGCCCACCAGGCTCCTCCATCCATGGGATTTTCCAGGCAAGAGTACTGGAGTGCCTTGCCATTGCCTTCTCCAGTGAATGGATATAACTCTTCAAACTTATGTCTCTGCCCCAGGCCAGCACACAGAATCTGGTACCTTGTACAGTACTTGATAGAGGTATGTTTAATTAGTACCTATGTGTATGCACAGTCTTCAGGGTAGCCCAATAACTGAATGACTGAAATCAGTGCCTCATTCATTCATGGACTTCAGATGAGTCAGTTCTATGCATACAACAAATAAAGTATAAGGAAAATTCTGGACCGTGGCTACTGACTAAATCTGAACCAACTATCTAGGAAATGGAGTGAGCGAGGCTTGGGAGTGGGATTCATCATATTGTTTTCCACCTCTGGAAAAGTGACTCTTCCATAGATGCCACTTTCTCAAGGTATGGTTTGGAGTTTGACATCTACATTCAAATACTGAGCTTATATCTATCCATTGATGCTATCCTACTCAGTTTAGAAAAGTAATGACATCATAACTTGAAAAAATAGGGAAAAGGAAAAAACGATCAATGGTCCCCAAGCCCAAATATGACTATCGTAATCATGTCTGTTCTACTCCCTGTAATACTCTTGATTAAATGATGACCTCAGTCACTAGAAAACCAGTATCTCAGCACCCTCACCTCTGAAGTAAGGCTTGAAAATTTGTTCTATAAATATTACATTTAAAAAGTACTTTGAAATTCTTGCAGCAGAGTGATTTATTGTGAAAAAGGCAATTCCTATTCCATATCAATCATGCTATCAAGTTCTTGCCTAGCTGCAGGCCTAATCAAATCACTTTTACATTTCTCTTTTTAAAATATCTATCATTTGTGGGTAATACTTCATCTCTGCAGGGGAAAGAAGTGAAGGGAAAATGAGGATAAGGATAAAACAAGAAGAGGAGGAGAGAGAGAAGAAAAGGCAACAGCTGAATGTGTCAAAGCTCTGGGCTTGCTGTTAGAAGATCCAGATGTTACTTAGTCTCTGTGGACTTGACATAGTTGCAGAGTTGGGGAGGAGATAACAGTGAAGGAGGTTCACTAGATAATTTCTAAGTGTGTTTCGCTTTTATTTTTATCTCTTATTTCGCTATGTAAGGGGTCCAGGCTTTCCAGGTGCATGTGTGCATGCCAAGTTGCTTCTATTGTGTCTGACTGTTTGCAATCCCATGGACTGTAGCCTGCCAGGGGATTTCCCAGGCAAGAATACTGAAATTATCTGTGATTGTGATTTTCATCCTGTCTGCCCTCTGACAGATAAGGATAAAAACATCTGCTTTATTGACTATGCCAAAGCCTTTGACTGTGTGGATCACCACAAACTGTAGAAAATTCTTAAAGAGATGGGAATACCAGACCACCTTAACTGCCTCCTGAGAAATCTGTTTGCAGACAACAGTTAGAACTGGACATGGAACAAAAGACTGGTTCCAAATTGGGAAAGGAGTACGTCACGGCTGTATATTGTCACCCTGCTTATTTAACTTACATGCAGTGTACAACATGCAAAATGCAGGGCTGGATGAAGCACCAGCTGGAATCAAGACTGCCGGAAGAAGTATCAATAACCTCAGATACACAGATGGCATCACCTTTATGGCAGAAAGTGAAGAACTGAAGAGCCTCTTGATGAAAGTGAAAGAGGAGAGTGAAAAAGTTGGCTTAAAACTCAACATTCAGAAAACTAAGATCATGGCATCTGGTCCCATCACTTCATGGCAAATAGATGGGGAAACAATGGAAATGGAGAGATTTTATTTTTGTGGGTTCCAAAATCACTGCAGATGGTGACTGCAGCCATGAATTTAAAAGACACTTGCGCCTTGGAAAAAAAACTATGACCAATCTAGACAGCATATTAAAAAGCAGAATTACTTTGCCAACAAAGGTCCATCTAGTCAAAGCTGTGGTTTTTCCAGTAGTCATGTATGGATGTGAGAGTTAGACTATAAAGAATGCTGAGCGCCGAAGTATTGATGCTTTTGAACTGTGGTGTTGGAGAGGAGTCTTGAGAGTCCCCAGACTGCAAGGAGATCCAACCAGTCTATCCTAAATGAAGTCAGTCCTGAATATGCACTGGAAGGACTGATGCTGAAGCTAAAACTCCATTACTTTGGCCACCTGATGTGAAGAACTGACTCACTAGAAAAGACCCTGATGCTGGGAATGATTGAACACGAGAGAAGGGGACTTTAGAGGGTGAGATGGTTGGATGGTATCACCTACTAGATGGACATGAGTCTGAGTAAGCTCCAGGAGTTGGTGATGGACAGGGAAGCCTGGCGTGCTGCAGACCACGGGGTGGCAAAGAGTCGGACACAACTGAGCGGCTGAACTGAACTGAATACTTTATTGGGTTGCCATTTCCTCCTCCATGGGACCTTCCCCACCCATGGATGGAACCCAGGTTTCTTATATCTCCTGCACTGGCAGGCGGGTTCTTTACCACTAAATGCCACCTGGGTCACATCGCAAGTGGTTCAGGGGTAAAGATTCGCCTGCCAATGAAGGGGACACAGGAGACGAGGCTTCTATCCCTGGGTCAGGAAGTTCCCCTGGAGGAGGAAATGACAACCCACTCCAGTAGTCTTGCCTGGAGAATCCCATGGAGAGAGGAGTCTGGTGGGCTATGGTCCACAGGGTTGCAAAGAGTTGGGTGCACACATACACATGCAGGGGGTCCACATACTAGCCTGCAAGCCAGACCATGTCGGCACCTGTTCCTAGACACCTGTGAGGTAACAATAACTTTTACACTTTTAAATGGTTGGAGGAAAAAAATCAAGGGAGTATGTTGTGACACTCTCACATTGAAATTTTCATATGCTTTTTATTGGAACACAGCCACAGTCATTTGTTTCCATATTACCTATGACCTATTTCATGCCAAGAGGGCAGAGTTGAGTAGTTGTCAGAGACCTCATGGCCCACAAAACCAAAAAATATTTGCTGTCTAGCCTTTTACAGAAAAAATTTGCCTACATCTGCTACATATTTATATTACAGTCTGTCTGCTTATTTTGGGTTGACCCATCTATTTTATATGAGGTATCTGCTCATCAGGTATTTTTCATAATGTTATGATTACAACGCATAATCTCATAAACTGTTCAGCTTTCTGGGAGGAAGGACTGTTTGTTTTGCTCACCACTGAAATCCCAGTGTCTTACACAGTGCTGGTATACAGCAGGTGCTCAGTAATCGTTGTTGAATAAATATTCTAACACCAGTGCCAAGCCAGTCATTTCAAAACTCCAAAAGGAAATTTTTCATCTAGTACAAACCAATTTGCCCATTTCAGTGATTTCAATTTTTTTAATTATTTTTAAAAACTTTTTTGCTGACCAACATCTTCCCTGCACAAAATCCCCATCGAACTTTAGAGAAGCAATGAAAAGAGAATTTTTAAAAAAATGGAATCCTTTTTCTCCCTTGTAGGGAATATACTAAAAATACTGATAAAATTGAAATGGCCTCTGTCTTCTGCAACCGTTGCGCCACGTTTTTAAAATGACGATTATTGGAGTCCAAGGCAGGGTTGCCATAGCATTGTGCATAATTTAAGCACAGCAGCAAAAGATACCAGCATGTGTGCCGAACAAAATGAGCGTGTGAGGAAAAAAAGTAAAATTTTGCGATCTGTGCACAGTGTCGAACGTGAACGTATTGCACGTTATGTTGCAGATTTACTACAGCTGAGTCATTTCGGGACACTAGTGTGTGTTTCCAGGAAAAAATGGGAGGAAGGAAACAGGCTGAGGGGCTCACCAGGTTCCCCCAGGCAGTCTCAGGAGCAGACACCGGTATTCCGCGGCGGGCGGCGGCGTGGTTAAAAAAAAAAAAAAAAAAAAAAAAAAGTGCCGTGGCCCCTTTAAGAGCCACAGCACCTTCTCCAAGATACCATCTTGCACCAGCAGTTCACGTAAGCTCTCTACCTACCTTGCTAAATCCCTCCTCCTTTACTGGGTACGACCGGCGGGCGGGGCGAACGAGCCTTTTCATTGGCTTTGCGCGCACGGCCCTCTCTTTCCTACTGGTTCCAGCGCTCGCCACTCGACGCTATCGCCCACCCTCCTGTGCCGTCGGACTAGGTTGAGTGAGGGCTCTTGGGTTAGTTCCTGTTAGGCCCCGGCCGGGGGAGTAGGTTGAAGTCTCCTAAGATGCCCGGTGGGCTGAGGCACCCGGAGCTGTGAAGAAGGCGTGAGGAGGCGGCAAGGGGCGACTCGCGGCAGGCCCGAACAAGAGCGGCGGCCGAGCCCGCCTTCCCTGCACCATGCTCATAGAGGATGTGGATGCCCTTAAGTCCTGGCTGGCCAAGTTACTGGAGCCGATGTGAGTGAGGCAGGCTGGGCCGGGGCTGGCGAACGTGGGCGTTGGGGGCCCGCGGGGGCCTGGGGGGAGGGGAAGCGGCATGGGGGAGGGCTGAGCGGAGGGGCCGCGGTCGGGAGGTCCTGGCGACGTCTTCTCTGTAGTACTATCACCATTGTGGGGGGGTGGGGGGAGGAGAGAAAGGGACGTAGAGGCGGTGTGCCTCTGGGAACGGGGCGGGGGGGGGGAGGCGGGGAGGACAGCGAGGGCTTTTGAAATACACGTTTTGGGGTGCTCAAAGGGGGAGCGGGAAGTGAGGGAATTTAAAATACTGCTCTTTGAGAACTGAGAGAGTAATCGGGGTTCTTGAGGGATTTTAGAATTTGAATATCGGGATCTTGAAGGGAGTAGCAGGATATCAAGGGTTTTACAAACAGTATTATTCCGGGACTAAAAGATCTAGAAGCGGAGTATTGGGGACCTTTTGGAAGCATGAAAGGAGAAAAGGAGAGTAGGGACATTGAGGGCTTTATAGACATTACTGATGAGTTCTAAGGGTTCAAGAATATTGAATTAAAATAGGGTAGTGGACAGGGATTTGTGCACGCTGAAGTGTTTGGGGAATTATTAGGAATCTGATAAGCCTATTAAGGGATGCTATTATTGAGGAGTTGATAGTGCCAAGAAAGCTGATGATTTTTAAATACCATTAGGGGTTGGGAAAAGTGAGGTTTTTGTAAGTTTGATTGGGGGTTGAATGGACTACTTGAGTATGTAATATTATTGGAGGACAGGCTGAAAGGGGTATACCGGCAGCACCAAGGGATTTTTAGATGCAGGTATTGGAATAATGAAACGGGTAGTGGAAAGAAAGAGTTTTGTAAATACTGAGAGGATTGGGGTGTAGGATTATTGGTTAGGGGTTTGTTTCTGTTATCTGGAGTAGTATGGTGGAAATACTGTTGGGAACCTTGAAATAAAGGAATAGCGAAGATACGAACTTTTTGTTGGTTTTGTAACCGTTTTAAAGGGATGAGATGGTGAAGTGTTAATTTGGGACACTGGGGTATAGGTAGTCTCTGAAAGGTATCTCCTTGAGCCAAGAGGAAAAGCTGGAAGGAAGGTGGGAGGAGGTGGTATCTAACTCTCTTGGGAAAGAAGGTATGGGAAGAGAAGGAAAGGAATCATTTGCTGCCCCTTTGTCATTTCTACTTCTTACTTTTCCTTCTACTGGAGGTGAGGGCTTTCTGGCTGAAAGAAAAGGAGTACAAGAAGAGATGGTCAGGCTTTGATTCATTAGATCAGATAATTTTAGTGGAAAAATTGAGTTTTTGCAGAGGTGGAAATAAAGGGTAATTCGGGAGGTGTGGAGGTGTGGTGAAGTTGGTTGTTAGGAGACTGCACTTCCCTGTTGTCTATTTCCTTGTGCTCCTGAGAAACCCTGTTAACTAACTTTTGATGTTTTGCTATTTTGGTTTCTTGGGGTGGGATGGTAACACCTAGGAAGACTCATCTGTAGTCCATTGTGTCAGCCTTGTGAAGATGGTAGGGTGGGAAAGTGAGACAGCATTAGGGGAATTTTGATGTCTGAAGTGGTATTTGTTTTCTGAGGATGTGTGTGTGACTAGAGCACAGGTGTGAATAAATATACTCTAAGGGCTTCTGAGTTTTACATTAGTGATGGTCTAAGTAAAGTGCAGATGACTTCTGGGCACACTTAAAAGTTTTATAGAAGAATATGGGCCTCTTGAGTGTGCATCATACTTTTCCTACATACAGTATCAAGATTGGAGCACAAAGGTGGAAATGGATTGTGATGAAGGTGGGAAATCATGAAGTAGAGTTTGTGAAATTGACCGTATATGGACGAGGCTAAGAATAGAAAAAGGTCTATTAAAATATAGAACAGGAGAACCTTTGTGTTTTTAGTTGGTTGGTAGATACTTTTGAAAGTATTAAATGGTAATACTTTTGAAAGCAATTAAATGTGTGTTTTATGCCTTGAGTAGAAGGTGACAAGTTTTAATATTATAGTTAATTATTTTTTTAAAGCTCCCTAAGATGTTTTGATCTGGATAATGTTTTTTGATTTTTTTCTTATTGTCAGAATTTAGTTTGGGTGGGAACTTAAGTCTCCCTAGGGTGTTTTCACCAGATTTTTTGGACTATTTATGCTGATTTTGTTCATATACATTCTGTAATATTCATGCGTAAAAGTTATCTTTCAAAATGATTAGTTCCCCATTTGTTTTGAGTTATATGTTCAACATAAAGCTTACATCATGTCTCTTTTAAAGATTATTTTTGTTACTTTTTTAGTGTTAAGAAAGATCTGAAATCACTGCTTAGATGTAATAATATAGATGATTTTCCTAGAACTACAAAATTACAAAATAAACTACAAAACAAATGCTTATTTTTAACTCATATAGGTAATGGTTTTGGGTGAAAGTGTTAATAAATAGTAAAGGCAAGTGCAAATGTCACATATATTCTCATTCTTAGTATGTTGTCATGGGAGATTTTTTTTTTGTTTAGACATCCTAAAATGTAAGAAATGATATGCTGAAGTGGGTTGTATTTGTAAGCTTACTTTTTCATATTCCAGATTCAAGAAAATTATCATGGGAGATTGGCATGTTGCTACAACATAGCATTTCAGAGCAGTTGTCAGGCTTTCATATAATGTAGTTGCAGTGGATATGTTTTAATCAGACTGTAGCTGTGTACATGATTTCCTGTTGCACTTGCTTATTTAGCTTAATTTAAAATTATCTAAATTTAGGGAATTCCCTGGTGGTCCAGTGGTTAGGACTCTGTGCTTTCACTGTCATGGACCTGAGTCAATCCCTATTGTGGGAGCTTAAGATCCTGCAAGCCACATAGATGGCCAAAAAAAAAAAAAAAGTAACTGAATTATAAAAGTTCTTGATTTTTAGGGATTTTTAGTATGGTCCACCTTGTCATTAGTGAAATGAAGTCATTTAAGGTAATATTATTATTATTTTTTTTAATTAAATTTATTTATTTATTTATTTTTTAATCACAACCATAGTGTATCTTTTTTTTTTTTTTTTACATGTATTCCCCATCCCGGTCCCCCCTCCCACCTCCCTAAGGTAATATTATGAAACCAGTCTCATTTGTATGTGTTTGTGCCCCATAGACAAATTAGGAATCTCATACTGTTAGAGCTTATCTGTTTCCACTCCTTTTGTAGATGTGGGACATATCTGTTACCTTATTAGAGGAGGGACAGGAGGAGGGAGACTAGAAGAAATGACTGACTCCTTAACTAGCTGTGGGCCACCCAGTACCATTTTCATTGGCAGTGCAGTAAAAGGGAGAGAAACCATCTTAGTCCAGGAGTTTTTCTCTCTTCCTACTGCTGCATGAATAGAATGAACTCACAGATCTTGTTTGGGGTCCTCATCTTTCTTCAGTTTCAAAATCTTCTAGATATACTAGTTATAGAGACTGTGTAGGGATTGTACATGAGTAGGACATGTCATGATTTTTTTTTTTTATTACAAATAACTGCTCACTTGAACTATCGGACTCCTTAAAGATAAGATTCTAAGTAAATCTAGAGGATAAATCAGCCAGTGGAGAAATTTCTACATATTTAGAAAACATTCAAGCAAGCATTTTTTAATAACAAACATGCATTTCTACCAAAAATGTTGTCTTTAATGAGGAATGTTTTAAGTTATTTTTATTTTATATATATTTAATATGTATAAGTACATCTAATTCACTGCTGCTTATTAGGTTTATTGTAAAAATTTGTCTTGTGATAATAATTTTGTAATGTATAGAAATACCAAATCACAGCATTGTACACCAGGAGCTAATATAAGTGTTTTAAGTCAATTTTACTTCAAAAACAAACTCATAGAAAAAGAGATCAGATTTGTGATTACCAGAGGTGGGGTTGGCAGGAGGAGAGTTGGATGAAGATAGTAAATAGGTGCAAACTTCGCGGTACAAGATATATAGTACTAAGAATGTGAAGCATGATTAATATAATTAACACTGCTGTGTGTTACATATGAAAGTTGAGATAAAATCCTGACTTCTCATGACAAGGAAAAAATGTGTTTTTTGTTCTTATTTTTTATCTATTGAAATGAATGTTCACTTAATTTATCATTGTAACATTTCATATATATAAGTAAAATCATTAATGCTGGTTCAATTCGGACATACACAGTTCTGTATGCCAATTATATCTCAAACTGAAAGAAAAAAAGCTATGAATAACCAAAAAAAAATTGCCTTGATACATGTTTTGAAGAGAGTAATAGGGTTTATAATACTTTCTGGACAGTTGCATTCATTCATTTATCTGTCATCTGTTTTGGTAGAGCATCATTGTGCGATGCAGGGCATTTAGTTTCTAGATCTTTATTTGAGTCACTGACTTTGGAGAATTTTCTCACCTTTCTGTGTTAAACAATGAATTATATTAACCTTTTACCTATCTCGCAAATATGAGTATTATAATGCAGACTATAAAAAGTACTTTATGTACCAGAATCATTAAATATAAATGAATTTTATGGTTTTTGAAATGTGAAAATATAGTAAACTCTTTTTGCAGAAATACTTATTAATACTAGTGTTAAGTCCTTCTGCCACTTAAAGAATAATCAGTCTAGTGCATGACAGATTCTTATTGCAGGCCCTAGACAAGAATTGGTAGAGAAAGCCATCGACTTGATGTGCAGTTTCTGTGAGTTTAGGCCATATCAAGATCTTTGTAAAAAAAAAAAAACGCTGTAAAACATTGACTTTGTGTCATTTCTGAGTATGATGGGAAAGACACAATAATCTTCGTTGGGATGATTCTATTGATGCAGTGGTCAGGGGGTGTATATTTGGGTTGAACTCTAGAGTTTACATGCTGTTTGTATGTTTGCAGTCCTTACCAAATTAATCTTGACTAGAAATCTCTGCAGTTGCCCAAATGGGAAGAAAAATCACCGTGTAGCAGCTTGTTAGATCTCCCCTCTTAATAAATG